TTTTTTTTAGAATAAAACGAAAAAGTAGTTAGGTTTTGAAGTGCGTGAGCTTTTTTTTTTTTTTAGCTACGCTTATAAGTAATATATGACTAATACAAACATATTTGTGCGCCGCTGGGATGAAAACGACCAATATCTCGTATCTCGAGTGATCACTCGATTATTAGAAGTACTCGATTACCGATAACTCGATTATCAAAATTGGTCGATTATGCCCATCACTAATTTCTACATTCTTCTCATGTATTTTTGCTGCAAGTATATTCGAATTTAGACGCTCCTACTAAAGGGGTACCTTATTTAAAGATACAGGATGTCCCAAAAGAAACGCAGAATTTCATTTTTTACAAAAAAGAACGAATCAATCAACTCATCAGCGTAAAATCCACACCACACTGTCACTCTTTGGTTATACAATGGTCGTTTTTGAATGACCCGAGGATTGTTTCTGCCCCAAATTCGACAGTTTTACTTGTTCACATATCCACTAAGATGGAAATGCAACTCGATGCTAAAAATGAAAAAAATTCTTAGCAAAGTCACCTTCCACCTGTTGATTCTCCAACATCCAATCAACGAATATCCGGTGCATTAAGTGGTCGTCTGGTTTCAATTGCTCGGTTAGTTGAATCCTGAATGGAAATGTTTAATTATTGCAGTCACCGATGGCGCACTGAGGTTATGGGAATTTCCGCCACACTATCACTCACCATAGCAATACTTTCCGCTGAACGGCCAGTACAAGGCCGGTCTTTTTTTTTCTGTAACTGAACCTGCTTGTTCAAATGTAGCAACTAATCTTTTCACGATTGTTTCAATCGGGGCGTTATTTTTACCGAAAATTTCACGCACAGTCTCAGCTACACACTCTCCGTACTTGTAATAAATTTTCACTCGCTCATCCGTCGTATAGCGATCCATCTTGTCTAACCGTGTTTACTAATCGTAATTATCCAAAAAAAAAAAAACTAAAAATTATATTTCTACTGTTGAGGATTTCCACAAACGACTCTTTAAAATCCTAAATCAAAAATTTTTACGGTTTTATTAAAGCTTGGTAAAATTATGACCGATCGCTTAACCTTTTGACCAGTCTTAATATTCTCTCTTGTTGCAGACAAGGTAAAAAAGAAATACGCCAGCCTGGGTCACACCATCCTGATGGTGCAGCTAGAGCGCAGCAACCAAGGCCTCGGGCTGAGCCTGGCTGGACACAAGGACCGCAACTGTATGGCCGTCTTCGTCTGCGGACTCAACCCCAATGGCGCTGCCTACAAGACAGGTGGCATCCAGATAGGGGACGAGATTCTTGAAGTGAGTAGTCCCTAATAATAAGGTTTAATTATTACTTATTTTCTTTTTCAAAAATATTTTTTCACCATTCTTTCATTTTCCATTGTTTTTTGCAAAAAAAGTACAGTATATGTTATTGCGAATTACCGTCAGTTTTCAGGTGTGAGTAAAATGTTAGAAGATTTTTGAAGCTACTATATTTTAAAACTTTGGCAGAAACAATGCAATTTTTCTATGCAATAAGAGAGTATTTGGTAGTATAAAATGAGTTGGAAAATATGCTCAAACAAATTTAAAGGGTGATTTTACTTAATTTTTTTTTAATAAAGGTAGAAGACCCTACGACAATTTATGGCGCACTCAATTTTAACGGAATTACATAACAGCAAAGTATTTTTTTAAATTAATGTTAATTGTATATAATGTATAATTTTTTTTAAGTTTGGTGCACTTATATATACAAATGAAAAAAAGATTAAAAAATCCTAAAGGGCTTTAGTGTTAAATAAAAAATTGATCATAATAATTTTAGATTCTCAAAAAATTAAAGAAATAAACCATTACCCATTTTACACCATAAGCAAAGCAAATGTGAACATAAAATAAAATTACATTACATTACAATAAGATAAATATATGTAAATCTGATAATATATAATATGTAATATGTAATATGCAATATTTAATATGTAATGTGTAAAATATAATGTGTAATATGTAATATGGAGGGCTCAGAAGCCCAAACATTGTGAGTCACTTTTCTCTGGAAATTGAGTTACGTATTGAAGGTTTCTTCTTAAAGTTGATACATTAACTTGTGTTATATTTACATTTATCAGTATGTTATATCGCAATAAAAATAATTATTAGTATCTTTACGGGAATGTTTATTTTATTACAAGTGTTACAAATAGCCAATTTTTTCATTTTCTATATTCAGTAACTTGCACTGATTGGCTTCTGAGCCCTCCATATGTAAGAAATAATATGTAATATGTAATGTAATATATAATATATAATATGTAATATGTAATATATAATATGTAATATATAATATGAAATATGTAATACGTAATACGTAATAGGTAATATGTAATATGTAACATGCAATATAGTATAATATATGCAATTTTATTACTTGTTTATCTCGTAGGTGCAGTTTTTTATCAATGGTATCTATATCACACCTATGCCAAATTTGAATACAAAAATCGTTAAATTCAGGAAAAGTTATGACCAAATATTAATTTAAAAAAATAACTTTGAGATTATGCAATTCCGAAAAAGTGAAGTGAAAAGGGCTTATAACTATTATTTTTATGAATAACCTCTTTAATGTTCTGCTCATAGTTTCCAGACACAGTTACATAAATACACATTTTTTTGTAATAATATATACTTAGTCTAGTACTTCACAAGGTAATAACAATGGCGTACGATTCGAATATAAATTTTGTATATCAAATATTTTTTATAAATGACAAAACTGTAGAGTTTTTTATAATGAAAACACCCATTTGCTCAATCGAATATATAATGTTATACAATAAGGCACATACACGTGTACAAATTTTCTTTATTGGATGCATGTGACTTTTAAATAACCCTTTTGTGTATTTTAATGAAACTTCAACGTCTCAAAAAACATTTGAGAGGTGTCCTTATAACATAAAACATAATAACTGGAGTTTCCCTTGTTAAGAGTAAAATGGTTGTTAAAATTATATGCTTCAAGCTGTTCCTATTCGATTTTAAAATAAGGGATTACCCTCAAATTTAACGTTTGCCAATTAAACATTTTGTAAACTTTATTAGAGGATCGCAAAGGGAGGAGTACCATTTAACATTTTGAAGGGAAGTTGAGGAATAATTTCTAATCGAATAGTGATTATGCTTCTGACGTGCTTATTCGATGTTTTTAAATGAACAAGAGTTAACAATAGAACGGCTTAAATATCAATGTAGATTACCAGTGGGGTGTTGAATAAATTCTCGCTGTTTTATCTTATAGAAAATCTGCGTTAAAATGGGGGAAAACCTGTTATTTGTGCATTAATTCATATTTAGACAAACTGTGTAACAAAATATATATAAATGTATTGCTGGTTGCCTATTTGCTATAGAGCTTTCTTAAACTACGCACCTGCAGTTCTGGTAGCGCCATCTGTTGGAAAACAGTGAGAACTTATTCAACGTTCCATTATTTAACTAGAACAGCTGTTTTAAAGATTTACTAAATAAAATTAACAAATTTTCATTCCTGATAATTAAGATATTTAGTCAATTTCTAGACTAGTTAAACTATAGTGATAGATTAAGATCAAGTGGTCTTCCAGGAGTTTTTAGAACCAATTACGATGATCCAATTAGTAGTTACTGGTCTGCTTCCATTTTTTAAGCAATATTTTGAAAAATCACAGCAGTTTATTTTATAAAAATCTTAAACGCATATCATCACTTAAAACCCTGGTATCCCAAACTTTGTCAATTTATAACAAACATTTTCACAACTTTTTTTCACAATTTTCATCCATAAGCAAACTATCATGTAACAATCACGCGGTAATTGGCAAATTTTTCATAGTTTCTAAATTTAAAAACTGAAACGGAAAATTTGTTGATGCTGCCATATTTAAAAAAAAACTTTAATAAATTGCACATTCCATGGATATCATTCATGCATTCGCAGTTACAAAAAAACCATTCAAATTGGGGTTCTTCATGCGTGTACCAAAGAAGGCCTTAAATTGTAACAATTACACTGTGTTCCAATTGAAAACATGTTGGATAACACCCAGAAGAAATTCACCACCCTGTATGATTGAAAATAATTTCAAATGTAAACAAGTTGATTTGGAGTAACTTTTATTTGAAACACGTCTTTGTATTATTGATATTGCCAGAGCTATGGAAAAATCCGTCTTAAATTCGACACCCTGTATACATTTCTCTTTACTATAAGCTTTATCTCGTGGCTTAGTCTGATGTCGACAACTCAGGATGCTCTAGCTCTAAGCAAACATGACGTATGTGTCTTTAGAAAATATTTTCATAATTTGCCAGAACAAATCTTAAAACACAGCTAGGATAACAATATGATGCAACTGATGCAGCACTTAAGCTTCTTCCCCTTTATGCCGGTGTAAACAATGCTATCTCGTACACAATACCCGTTTGTTCATTGTTTTTTGGGTCACGGTCCAGAATATTTTTAAAACAAAGTAAAGTAGATATACAAGGTTTCCTACTAAAAATGATTAACGTGGTAAATTTTCGTTGTTGACTTTAGGCACAGTATATACAGATCAGTAAGGACAGCGAGTTTATTTACGAACGAAACCCACCAGCCAAATTACTTGCTACTTTCATTGAAAATAATATAAATTAAGTGTATATCTCTTTCTTCTCCAATAAACTATTGAAAATTACAACAAATATTTTTTAAAAATGATATAATGGGACGCGACCCCACTGATACATAGACAATGTAAATTTCAGTACATAATCCTGTTTGTCCATCATACTGATATAGGCCAGGAAAATTAGCGAAAAAAAAGAGAAACTCGAAAAAATTCATATCCGCGAATTATTGTAAAATTGTCTAAAGGAACATAATACAAGACATCTCTCATCTCGTGAGTCAAAAAATTTTAATAGCTAACTTTTCTATTTAAACAAATAAGTGAGGAAAACAGTTTTTTAATTTTGCAGGAAAAAACATCAATTTTAGCGAAAAGTGACTCCCAGACAACTTGTAGGGAGCAAAATTATCTACAAAATGAGACGTGTTAAATTAAAATCGGTTAATAAACAAAAAAGTTATTGCAAAAAAAACAATTAAAGTGCCCATTTTTTATTTTTTTGAAAATAATTTGTGAATTTTGACTTTAATTTTACATTTAAATCGTAATTAAATAGCTAACAAAATATTGAAAATATAAATTTACTTATATGGCTTAATATGTAAAAAAATAACTTTTTTAATGAACGATAGCTTCATTTATTTATTTAATAATAGTAAAATAATTCCGAAATTGAAGTTTTAATTAATATTTCGTTTAACAATAATTTTTCGGACATTTTTGTAAATTAAAAAAATTAAGTATAAAAGATACATTTTTTCTGGGGTTCAGGGCTATTCTACGAATTCGTAAATATGCCCATTGTTATTTTTTCGTCGAGCTACCCCAGTTAAAAAAAAAAAGTTTCTACGATGAATAGAAGCCGAGATATTGCAAAATTTTACAGAGCGCATCAATTTGAACTTGGATTTCACTTTTCTCACGTGCGCGACTCGCTTGGTCGAGCTTCCCCCATCACCACGCCGCCGGACAGTTTACTTAGCAAGTACCTTCTCTTTAAAGGGTTAGTGAGTCGTGCAATTCACGGGAAATCGTAGTTTACGTCGTAAACTTTATTTTGCGAAAAATTCAAGTCTTAATGTGTATAAACAATTGCGTTACGATTTAAAAAAAAATCTTATCTTGGCTTCTGTTGGTCGTAGAGGGTGCTTTTTTTAATTTGTATTTTTTGCCAGCTATCCATTGAATCTATTTTTGATGAGGTAGCATAAATAGCAACAATTTTATTCAAATTGTTTATAAGCGAAAAACGCACGGTTTTTTAATGCACAATTTGAGAATGGTAGTGTCAAAAAAGCGGTGATATTTTTAATAGGTCGCTTAATTACGTCTTTAAGATTACAATGACGCTTTCAAAATCATGTTTGGTTGAAAATTAGCGCCTGTACAGAGGCTTAAAGTTCATAACTTTTGGAGCCTCCGTTATAAACAAATTGAATTGTGCGAAAACTATTGCACCTACAGCACCCATTTTTGGCACACCTTTAAAGTATTACAAAACCCTCAACTTGTCATAGGTTTTATAAAATTTTAACAATAAATGCGATAGTTATAAACAAATTAGAAAAAGGGCACTTTCTTGGTGTTTTGCTATAACTTTTTTGTTTATTAACCGATTTTAATTTAACAAGTCTCATTTTGTAGATAATTTTATTCCCT